GATTGATACACGTCACTTAAGTGAATTTAACTGATGAACCAGTGAAAAAATGCTTCTTTCCTTCACTGATTGATTCAGTAACATTTCCCACTGATTCGTCAGTCCTTTTTTCCACTGTTTTCTCAGTGGTTTATTTTTTGACTGATGGACCAGTGAAACATCTGAGCAACTTGCTCCGTCTCGAATTATTTTTGACTGATGCATCAGTGAAACTGCGTGTTAAAATAGCCGTCGAACATCGTTTAAAAATGGCCGTTAAACGACGTGTAACAAGTTGAAGTACAATAACAACGAATAAACGTATAAAGCAAACACAAAATACTTTCTAAAATGCGTTTCGTCTTTCAGAACGCCATTTTACGAGGTAATATGAACACACAGACTTTCATCCCGTTTTTACGTCTTTCATTTCGTCTTTAAGTCTTTCATTTAGTTTGCATGTAATCGTCACAGCACTCTGTTTGAAGGTTTAAACTGCATTTAAGGCGAACGAAGAAAGTGCACTCATATATTCTATACGTTTTAACAATTCTAACGGTACCAATCAAACCAAACACGAAAAGTATGAGCAAAGAATTTCAAACTATACGATTTCACATCTATACTATAAAACATATATTTTCCTCTAACAATTCAACTATGCGTGGTAGCTCAGGTGGTGAAGGGTGCGCGAGTTCAATCCCAGCCACCGGCAAATTTTTCGTTGCTTTAAAAAAAAAAAAACGCTAAATTGCACAATATAAATAGTAAACTATCGTAAATATGTTTATTTAATGTAATTATTTGCATACGTCCAATAAAGGCAACGAAATGTGCTAGAGGGCGGAAAAGGCGGTTTCATAGCGCACGTGTTCGCAGCACAAAGGTGATACGGAGCGACATGTGGCATGGTCGTGTGTGGCTGAAGCGTCAGTAGCTGCCCTCCTCTCCACGACTAATATCATCTGGGGGAGATTACCACACCTCCGTCTCGTTTATAAATGGCCTGGCGGTATACATACAATGGCGCCGCACACGGAGCTCATTGTTCGCCGGGCACAGCGGACACGTGGTTCCTCTACTTCTCCCCGCAACAAGTCACAACAGGGCTTCTTTCCTCGCCCGCCGCCAACACCCACCACTCACATCGACTTAATCATACGGCAGTGCAACGACCGCGGGTATTGGCTAACTACATCGGCCCCACGCCGCGACGCCAACACCCACCACTCACATCGACTTAATCATACGACAGTGCAACGACCGCGGGAATTGGCTAACTGCATCGGCCCCACGCCGCGATGCCAACACCCACCACTCACATCGACTTAATCGTACGGCAGTGCAACGACCGCGGGTATTGGCTAACTACATCGGCAGCACGCCGCGACGCCAACACCCACCACTCACACCGACTTAATCCTACCGCAGTGCAACGACCGCGGGTATTGGCTAACTACATCGGCCCCACGCCGCGACGCCAACACCCACCACTCACATCGACTTAATCATACGGCAGTGCAACGACCGCGGGAATTGGCTAACTGCATCGGCCCCACGCCGCGATGCCAACACCCACCACTCACATCGACTTAATCATACGGCAGTGCAACGACCGCGGGTATTGGCTAACTACATCGGCCCCACGCCGCGACGCCAACACCCACCACTCACATCGACTTAATCATACGGCAGTGCAACGACCGCGGTTATTGGCTAACTACATCGGCCCCACGCCGCGACGCCAACACCCACCAGTCACATCGACTTAATCATACGGCAGTGCAACGACCGCGGGTATTGGCTAACTACATCGGCCCCACGCCGCGACGCCAACACCCACCAATCACATCGACTTAATAATAAGGCAGTGCAACGCCGCGGGTATTGGCTAACTACATCGGCCCCACGCCGCGACGCCAACACCCACCACTCACATCGACTTAATCATACGGCAGTGCAACGACCGCGGTTATTGGCTAACTACATCGGCCCCACGCCGCGACGCCAACACCCACCACTCACATCGACTTAATCGTACGGCAGTGCAACGACCGCGGGTATTGGCTAACTACATCGGCCCCACGCCGCGACGCCAACACCCACCACTCACATCGACTTAATCGTACGGCAGTGCAACGACCGCGGGTATTGGCTAACTACATCGGCCCCACGCCGCGACGCCAACACCCACCACTCACATCGACTTAATTATACTGCAGTGCAACGACCGCGGGTATTGGCTAACTACATCGGCCCCACGCAGCGACGCCAACACCCACCACTCACATCGACTTAATCATACGGCAGTGCAACGACCGCGGGTATTGGCTAACTACATCGGCCCCACGCCGCGACGCCAACACCCACCACTCACATCGACTTAATCATACGGCAGTGCAACGACCGCGGGAATTGGCTAACTGCATCGGCCCCACGCCGCGATGCCAACACCCACCACTCACATCGACTTAATCATACTGCAGTGCAACGACCGCGGGTATTGGTTAACTACATCGGCCCCACGCCGCGACGCCAACACCCAGCACTCACATCGACTTAATAATAAGGCAGTGCAACGCCGCGGGTATTGGCTAACTACATCGGCCCCACGCCGCGACGCCAACACCCACCACTCACATCGACTTAATTATACTGCAGTGCAACGACCGCGGGTATTGGCTAACTACATCGGCCCCACGCCGCGACGCCAACACCCACCACTCACATCGACTTAATCATACGGCAGTGCAACGACCGCGGGTATTTTCTAACTACAACGGCCCCACGCGGCGACGCCAACACGGCGGGGAAGTCGCTCACCAATCAGCTCATAGCGTTGTCTATCCCCAGTAACTCCACACTTGTCGAATTGTACGTGTTGTGTTTCATTCCTTCCTAAATATGTCATGTGTATCCTGTAGAGACCTGTAAAATTCGCGTTATCATCTCAAGACAGAATAGACTTCAAACACAAATGCGTTTGTATTGCGTTTGCCATTGTATTACAGGTGATAATACACGCCCTGGGCGTCCCTGAACCAATCAAAAACAAGCAAAAAAATAATAGCCCAATCACGGCTCAACTATTCAAAAGGGATTATGAAGAAGCCAATAAACAAATGACACCGGCTCAAATGCATACAGGACAGTGAAATACAGCGTGCTACCAAATAATAACGCAAATTTTGCAGCTCTCTATGCATAGGGACAGGTGTTTTTTTTTTCACGAAAAACAATTTTGTTCGTATGCACATTCTTGGTTGATTTTAAATGCCACGTGCCTCAAGTATCTGCCCGTAAATCATGGACGTTCAGTATCGGAGTACTTTATTACGATTGGCCCAGTCGAATATGAACATGTCTTCTCACGTAGACACGCAGCCAATAACCAAAGGAAGTTGTGTTTGTGGACGTAGGATATTGAAGTCTAGCATGACCACAATAATTTTTGATAAAACACCTGTGCCTGGTCATGTATGGCAAGCGTTTTTTTATTCTTCTAGTTGGTTAAAATGATATTTTGCTATATTTTATTTGTTAGTTATAATATTTCATTTTAAATTAATACGAATAAAACAGTGAGATAATAAGTAATAAAATACGAGAAAACCATACACACACACACACACATACACACACATATATATATATATATATATATATATATATATATATATATATATATATATATATATATATATATATATATATATATATATATATATATATATATATGTGTGTTTATACACGATTATCTCATAACGTTATTCTATTACTAACACCTTTCTTCCAGTCAACTCAATTTTTTACCGTGATACTGAGAGTTTCCATATGATGTCATTCAAACTGGGGTTGGATTACGGACACGTCAAATGATATAGACCGTTCACAGCAAAGCTAGCACTTTTGAAAGCCCTGCTTAAGATCTACTTGTATGCACAATTTGTACCCTTCCAACATATGTAAAATTAACACCGCCACTTTATTCATGCGTCGACCAAGTGAAACTGCGAAATTATCACAAAAGTAAATATTTTACAAATTTGTTATTTTTGAACTTACATCCTTAAAAAAAAACAGAAAATAAAATGTATGATTCCAGGTATTCGCAAATGTTTACAAAAACGCTTTTAATATCAACGTTAAAACTAGGGACTACTTTCCTTGTGTCGTTGTCAACTTTACTGGCCGCATGCCAGCCAGCGTGTTCTTTAAAATTTACGCAATGTAGGGGAAGTAACTCTTCAGAGGTTGTTTTCAAAAGTGCTCACTTTACCGTGAACAGCCTCTGCAGACGATTTTTGTCGGGCCCTGACTGACGCACCATTCGTGTGAACTCTTGAATAATGGTTCAGAGAAGTTGTATCAATCACGCGATGAAAGAAATTTCTGTAAAGTAACATAGTAGTTTACGATAATATGCCGTTAATGTACGGAAACAATGCCCGCAATGGTGAAATACGAAATGAATATCCATAAAAAACAGTGTTCAGTCAGCCACGAATATTGCCGAAACAACACAAGATGTTCGAAGGAGCTATAAACACAAGGAGCTTCTAAGAGGCAAGTGGAACTTGAGACCAGCAACAAGGCGAAAAAAAGTAAGATACATGTTCTGTATTTGAACTGCAAGTAAATTTTTCTCACCCAGTCCGCAACGAGAGCACCAAGATGACCCTCCAGGAACTCATTTTGTTCGTTTTCAAAGCTCTGTTTGGGCATGCGTGTCTCCTTTTTTTATTTACTATATCTATAAAAATAACATTAACCATGATAAATTGTCTGAATTTGTTTTATTTAAAATCACCTGTAACTCGTTTAACGGCACGCGTTCTAACATCATTTCATAGTAGCAGGTATTTTCATTAACTGCAATGGTGGGGCATTTAACTAAGAGCATTACAAACACTGCTATACATGTTTATATCCCTGGTATCACAATAAATTAAATATATATATAAAAAAAAAACGAAATTTCGTTAAACCAATATACGTTACACTCTTACGTTAGCAGTTGCGACCACGTGGCCTAATCGATAAGGCGTCGGATTTCAGATCCGAAGATTACAGGTTAGAGTCCTGTCGTGGTCGGAATAAACCCTTCGTAAATAAACGACATGTTTAAATATCAAAATAAACATAAACTTAGTGAAACTGAATGCTGAGAAGAACCTTTCTTGACTTAATCGTATGGTCCAAAATTTTTTGGAATTTTCGTAAAGATGGTTACTGAAAGAACACGGCGGAAAAACACCCAATCTAAATCTTTTTTTAATGTATTAATTTTCTGCGTAATATAGCTACTTATGATTTGTTATTCATTATACATTTAATTACACTCTGCTAGAGTAACTTTCAAACAAAATCTGTGTGTGAATTTAGAGAAAAGTAATTATTAAACGTGTTTAATTAAAATATAGTTATCGGAGATTTAATAATATCGTCATTGACATAAAATATTACAGCAGAAATTACGTGAATTTGCGAAGCAATAAACAGTTTTCATGTTTTAACTGTCGAAAGTAAGCCAAGAGCTCTAAAATTTTGCTATATATTTTAATAGTTACCCCCCCCCCCCCTTTTTACGAACAGAAGATAAAACGAAAGATATGGATATGTGTAGAAAAACTAATATTTGTCAAAGTTTTGATATGTATGCTAAAATGACAACTCGAGAACGTAAACTGTTATGAAAAAATGCACAAGAATGGGACACACCAAGCCCCGAAGTACTCAGGAGCAAATAATATAATTTGGATGGTAAAGTATTTTGCATAAAGATTAGAAGCGAATGGAATCATAGACTTAATCCCACGTAAGTCAAGGGAAGCGAAGTCTAGCATGGGACGAAATAATTAAAGGAAGCGGGACAAATTGTTTATTTGTATGAAAATTTATGAAAATGCGCAGCACATTTCTCAATTTTAGACTAACACTCTGAATCCGCCTGTGTGTCTCTCCCCCCCCCCCCTCCTCCAGCACTTCTATCTCCAACAACCAACCGTTTATCTTTAGTGATTAAGAGATCTGCAAAGATTGCATTATTATCTAGTGGCAGACCGAAATCAGATATAGTGCGAGTTAATGGCCGGCAATATGTCTGGCATGCCTTGAGGGAATCTTAAGTCAATAATGTAAGTTCACGTTTAGTGCGGCCAGTCTCCTTCAACGTAGACAAAACAGGTAGCGGGTTGAGGTTCGGCGGACCTTAAGAGGCCCCTCCTGACTACCTGCCGGTCGAACTGGGTTGCAGAGTGTTCGAAATGCAGGTTCTTTATTTTACGAAACTATTAAACGTGCGTCCAATGAGCCAGTCTACGAAAATAACGCATACTTCAGACCACACCTGTCGGTCAGCCCCACCAAGAGAAATTCCGATCCCCTGAGCAATGCACATGCTGTGACTCCCCTACCCCTCCCCACACAAATAGACCCTTTACAACAACATGACTAGTCGTCATCCATGCAAAAAGTCAATAAATTTTGAGTGTCGAAGTTACATTTTTACGTTACTTCGTTTTATAAATAAACATTTACGAGTCGGACCCGACCCGGGCCCTTCGGGTACCTGGGCCCCTGTGCATTGCCACCCCCCCCCCCCCCCCACCCTTGACGCCTTCTCTTGGCGGGCCAGCTGTCGCTTAGTTCCAAAATGTCACACGCATTAGAAACACCATTACGGAGCACTCCAACATAGCTAACAACTGTTTTTTTTTCCCCCAAAGCGCTCTATCTTAAAATATACGCGTTATATACACACAGAAGTAATCGAGAAGGGTGCGCTGAACCTTGCTACAGACTTTCAAGCGCGGGAAAAACCTCCAGGCAGGCGGGCCCCTTAACATCGAGAGCCGATGAGGGTGAAGCGATATGACTACGGACCAAGAGCTGGAAAGCTAGGGCGGGGGAAACGGGAGATCCCCGAGAAAACCCGCTGACCAGCGGCATCGTCCGGAAGGATTACCACGCACAAGAATCCGAGAGGGACTCCGCCGGGAATCGAACCCGTTTCGTCTTGGTGGGAGACTAGCACTCTAGCCGCTGAGCCACCACAGCCCCTCAAACAAGTAGGTGGCTGCAATTGTTTAGCGGAGAATGGATGAAGGGACCGTGCTGACTTTTGTCTAAGACTGTTGAGTCGATCCTGTCACCGAAAGATAACGTGAATGTTGCAGGTTTGTACTAAGGATTTGTCAAAGAATTCTGGGTATACGTTGTTCACGGTAAAATGTGCACTTTCGAAAGCCCTGCTAAATATATACTTGAATGAACATTTGGTATGCTTCCGCCATATGTACAATTAACTTTGTCATGGACCTGATTACTTTATTCATGTTATGGTCAAACGAAACAGTAAAATTATTTTTAAAAATTTACTTAACAAATCTACTAATTATTGAGTTTGGACGTAAAGAAAAAAAAAACAAACAAACATAAAGCAAAATAACTCATTTCAATTTTCATTAATGTTTTCCCGAGCACTTTTAATTCAACGTTAAGATATGGAACAATTTTCCCTACATCGTTACCACCTTTGCTGGGCGCATGCCACTCGGCGAGCCCGTTAAAATATATGCAGGTAGCTGCAGTGACATTTTTCAAAGGCTGAGTTCAAAAGTGTTCAATTGATTGCGAACCGCCTTTATTTGTAATTTTGTCAGCAAGTATTCTGTGGTGCGCCTCTGTCTTAAGGGGAATGGCGCATGAAAGCAGTATTACCCGATTTTCGATATAAGTCTTTTCCAAAGAGTTTATTGAAATTTTTGGCTCGACAAGACGTAAATAATAATTTTCAGCACCTTTTTACGTTGTTAGATTTTTCACTGCATTCATTATTCTTGGAGCACTAATGGAAGAGATGAAAGGATTTTTTTTTCTTATCTTCAATAAGAGCTCCGAGAGTAACGAACGCACGGAATTTTTAGCTATGTCTTAAGATGTTCGAAATTGGTATTTACGTCTTGTCGAACCAATAATTTCGAAAAATCCCCTTTAAAACAAATTGTGACAAAAATGATATAAATTTACGATTTTCATGCACCATTGTCTTAAGGGCCGGCTTCACCTCTATTTTATAAATCCTTCGTTTTCGTCTCAAAATGTTAGTTTCAGAGGCATGACTGAAAATGTTTAGTCATGTAAAATTTTCAATTTACTAGTTGTTTAATACTTTTGTATCTGATTTACACTGTGTGTCATTTCCTGATTGCAGAAAGACAACAACTTAATACAATATAAGTACGTTATCGACTTTTTACAACTAGCAGATAACACGTAATTAAAATTCAGTGCCATAATATTAATCAGCTTGTAAAATGTAAATTTTCTGTAACTGTGCATTGCCAATAATTACTATGAATCCAAAATTATGACGCAGAAACGAAGAACTTTTGCAAAAGGGGTGCGGCCGAGCCTTAAGCCCATATGTCACGATTAAAATTTTCTTGGACGATAACATACACATTTGCATGGCCGTTTTCATGGACTTTTCGTAATTGGTCGTGTACAACTTTCGATGGAAGGTTTCCTACAAGATTAAAATAACAGAAAATCTGATAGAGGATGGCAAAGTAATTTCGTTTATTTCTCTTCAATCAAATAACTAAGTTCTTTATTAAATCACGTCAAAATTTTACAAATATCTTCAAATGTAGTTGCGTCACTTTTATCCACACGTTTTTTGATAAGTGTGTAACAGAAAGAATATACTGATAATTTAAACATGTTAATGCACTAATTAAGTCATAGCTACTTGACAAAAGAACAGATTGTCTGCTCTACAAAGTAACGAGTACCTATTTTCAGAGAGGTGTAGTTTTAGTTTTATACTAACTGTCCCTAAATAGCCGAAATAAGCGAAAAAACGAGTAATTCATCATGGCGTGCGGGGACGCGCCTTAAGGCCAAACTTCGTCATACATGGGCGTATAGGGAATGAAGTGATAAATTGGGACAAAGATCTATCAGTCATTTATGTGGTAGTATTTCTAACTAAATATTTTACGTTATATATTTATTGCTTCTAGATTTGCAAACCTTCCAAATTTTTATTCTTGAATTTTAAATGCACTTTTCTAATGTTCATAGAATCGTTAGATTTGATAAATAATTTAAAAGTGCATTTAAAATAAAAAAATTAAAATTGGAATAGTTTGCAAATCTAGATGCATTCAATTTCTAACAAAAAAATATTTCGTTGAAAATACTATTATAACAATGACTGAGAGATCTTTGCCCTAATTTAGAATTAAATTTTATATACGCTCATTCATGGTGAAGCCTGGCCTTACGATGGCCGCCTAGGTAGGCCGCCGAACGGTGCGCAGAGCTCCAGAAGGTTCCTTTTTATTAAATAACCGCTCAACGCGTCTGAGTGAAGTCTGCATTTAAGAAAACAAAGCATCTGTCATACGTTTGTTCAGTTCCTGCATTTCTCTCTTAATCCCCTGTCATACTATCAAATTTCCTCCTCCAACTAAATTTGACGATAAAATTTGAAGATAAAATAATTCCATAACACTTTTCAGTCCAACAAATGGTATCAAATAATCTAAAAAGGAACCCGAAAATGCGTCACACAATCAATTTTTTTTCCTGGGGGAATCTAATATGAATTGTCATTTAAAAATTATTTCCACAGCAAGATATTGATTTTGTTTTTCACTGCAGACCATTAGAGGAAGAAATGTAAGGAATGTTGTAATATATTTTCGCTTCTGTAGTAAATACAAATTTTATTTATTAGAAATGTTTCCTGCACAGTGTAATTTAATGTCTCTGAGTTCGTAATATTATGTGTAATACTCACTTATAAAAGCATTCATGCTCAGACAGCTCCTACATAAATAATAAACTTAATTACCTATATCGTTTCCAGAAATTGTCCGTTATTTTAAAGTTTCTTGACGACCATTTTTGTAGTGCACGGCTGTGATTGGCCGACACCGTCAAATATCAAATCAATTTTAGAACCGGTCCAATCTTCAAATGAGTAGTAGGGGCGTGCCTGTTTCATTTCACTTTTGATTAATCGGATTATCTATTTGATATAAAATTGGTATCAAAATGGTTAATCCTTAATCCGATTTTAA